GTAAATTGCTCTTGGTAAAATTAACAATGTTAATTCTTCTAATCCAAGAACACTAGATATCTTTCCATTTATTTGTTTCTTCTTCAATTTTTTTCATCATTGTCTTAAAATTTTCAGAATACAGATCTTTCACCTCCTAGATTAAATTTACTCCTGAGTATTTTATTCTTTGTGATGCTATTTTAAATGAGATTGTTTTCTTAGTTTTCTTTTCAGACAGTTTATTAACAGTGTATATAAATGCAACTGAATTTTGTTATATATTTTTTTATCCTGCAACTTTACTGAATTCATTTATTAGGGTGGAATATGGGGGGGTTGCATATAAAAGTATATGATCTACAAACAGTTTTACTTTTCATTCTGATTTGGATGCCTTTTCTTTCTTCTTCTTCTGTAATTTGTCTGGGACTTCCAGTACTATGTTGAATAAAAGTGGGGAGAGTAAGCATCCTTGTCTTGTTCCTGATGTTAGAGGAAAAGCTTTTAGCTTTTGATTGTTGAATATGATGTTAGCTGTGGACTTCTCAGATGGGTTAAGGTACATACCTTCTATACCTAACTTGTTGAGGGTACTTACCATGAAAGGATATTAAATTTTGTTAAATGCTTCTTTTGGCATCTGTTGATATGACTATTATTTTTATCCTTCATTTTATTAATCTCATGTGTCACATTTATTGATTTGCACATGATGTTGAACCATCCTTTCATCCCAGGGATATATCCTAGTTGATTGTGATGTATGATCCTTTTAATGTGCTATTGTATTTGGTTTGCAAGTATTTTGTTAAGAATTTTTGCATCTTTATTCATCAGGAATATTGACCTGTAATTTTCTTCTGTTGCATTAGTCTTACATGATTTTGATATTAGGATAATGCTGGTCTCATAATATGAGCTTGGAAGTGGTCCCTCTTCAATCTTTTGGAAGACTTTGAGAAGGATTGATGTTAATTCTTAAATATTTAATAGAATTCCCAGTGATTCTCCCTAGTCTTGGGCTTTTCTTTGTTGGGAGATTTTTAAATTAGTGATTTAATCTCCTTACCAGTTATAGATCTATTCAGATTTCCTATTTCTTCATGGTTCCCTTTTGGTTGTATGTCTTTAGGAGTTTGTCCATTTCTTCTAGGTTAGGTTATCCAGTTTGTTGGCAAAGAATTGTCCATTGTAGTTTCCTCTGATTGATTTTATTCCTGCAGTGTCAGTTGTGATGTTTCCTCTTTTATTTTTGATTTTGAATCTCTTTCTTTCATAGTTAAGGAAAGTTTTGTCAATTTATCTTTTCAAAAAAAAGCAACTCTTAGTTTCATTGGTGTTTTCTACCATTTTTCTGGTCTCTATTTCATTTATTTCTTTTCTGATCTTTGTTATTTGCCTCCTTCTCCTAACTTTAACCTTAGTTTGTTCTTTTTCTGGTACCTTGAGGTATAGAGATAGGTTGTTTATTTGAGAGCATTCTCTTTTGTTAATGTAGGCATTTATTGGCATAAACTTTACTCTTACGATTGCTTTTGTGCACCCCATAAGTTTTGGTGTGTTTTGTTTTCATTTTCGTTTGAGTATATTTGAAATTGTTTTCTTTGACCCATTGGTTGTTCAGGAGTATGTCATTTAAGTTCCACGTATTTGTGAATTTTCTAGCTCTCCTCTAAATCTATTAGTGATTTGTAGTTTCATACCATTATGGTTGGAAAAGATACTCAATATGATTTCTGCCTTCTTAATTTTGTTAAGACTTGTTTGTGACCTAACTTTGGTGTATCCTAGAGAATGTTCTGTGTGCACTTGAGAAGAATATGTATTCTGCTGCAGGTGGGTGGCATCGTTTGTACATGTCATTAGGTCCATTTGGTCTTAGTTGCAGTGCAGCTCCAACATTTTCTTACCGTTTTTTTCTCATCTATCATCCATTGTTGAAAATGGTGTTTGACTCCATACTATTACTGCATTGCCGTCTATTTCTGACTTCAGTTTTGTTACTATTTGCTTAATGTAGTTAGGTGCTCCAATGTTGGGTGCCTATGCTTATAATTGTTATTTCCTCTTGATGAATTGACTGCTTTATCACTGTGCAATGATCTTCTTTGTCTCTTGTGACAGTTATTTACTTAAAAGTCTGTTTTGCCTGACATAGTATAGTTATCCCTGTTCTTTTTTGGTTTCGCTCACACATTTGTGGTTCTGTTGTTTCTTCCAAGAAAGTGAATGTGTACTTCACCAGCATTTCTTTGCATTCAGGTTTCTGGAGTGGAGAAGAGGATGTTAAGGCACCCTTTGAGCAGAGTGTTTCTGTAGTAATGTCACAGGCCAGGACTTCCAAAGAACCTTTATCTTCCCAGAAGACTCACCCCTGTGAGATGTGTAGTCCAGTCTTGAGAGCTGAGTCCATTCTTCATTTGGCTGAGCAGCTGGGAACACAACACAGCCAGAAACTATTCAAGTGTGGGGCATGTACAAAAGGATTTTATTTCAGTACAAACCTTCAACAGCACCAGGAGCAGCACATGGGAGAAAAACCGTTCGTAAGCAGCATGGACAAGGCCTTATTTGTGAAGAGCTGCAATTTGCATGTGTCAGAGGAGGCTTTTACCTATGAAGAGGTGGATAAGGACTTCCTGACCACCTTGGGACATCTGAAGCAGGGAGAAACAGGGAAGCAGGCCATTCACACCAGGGAGAAGCCAAACACAATCACCCAGAGCAGTGAAACTTTACAAAGCACTGGGGGAGAATGCAAGAAAGCTTCTCGCCCCAAAGACACACTTGTTCAGGACCAGGGTGTCTACACTAAAAGACAGTGTTTTGTGTGCAGTGAATGTGGGAAAGCATTCAGGTACAAATCGTCATTTCTCGTGCACCAGAGAGTTCACACTGGTGACAGGCTTTATGTCTGTGGTGACTATGGAAAATCCTTTAGGGGAAACTCAGCCCTCAATCAACATAGAAAAATTCACACTGGGGCAAGGCAGTACAAGTGCAGCAAATGTGGGAAATCCTTTAGCCAAGAATTTGTCCTCATTTATCCTCAGAGGAGTCACACTGGAGAAGATCATCACGCGTGCCACAAATGTGCACAATCTTTTAGCCACAGCTCCATCTTCGTTCAACAACAGACAGTTCACACTGGAGACATGAGTTACGAGTGCACTGAATGTGGGAAGTCCTTTAGACGAAAATCTGACCTCATTGAGCACTGGAGGGTTCACACAGGAGAAAGGCCTTATGAGTGCAGTGAATGTGGGAAATCTTTTACTTCTAGCTCTGCCCTCCGTTATCATCAGAGAGTTCACACTGGAGAAAAGCCTTATAAATGTAGGGACTGTGGGAAATCTTTTACGTCTAGCTCTGGCCTACGTTATCATCAGAGAGTTCACACAGGAGAAAGGCCATATGAATGTACTGATTGTGGGAAATCTTTTACCCAAATAAATCACCTCATTATACACCGAAGAGTTCACACAGGAGAAAGGCCTTATAAGTGCAGCGAATGTGGGAAATCCTTTAGCCACAAATCTTACCTCTCTCAACACCAGAGAGTTCACACTGGAGAAAGGCCTTATGAGTGCTGTGAATGTGGGAAATCTTTCACCTCTGGTTCCGCCCTCTGTTATCATCAGAGAGTTCACACAGGAGAAAAACCGTATGAGTGCAGTGAATGTGGGAAATCATTTACCAATGGACCAATACTCATTCGACACCGTAGAATTCACACAGGAGAAAGACCTTATGAATGCAATCAGTGTGGAAAATCTTTTACTCAAAGAAATCATCTTAATATACACCGGAGAGTTCATACAGGAGAAAGGCCTTACGAATGCAGCGAATGTGGGAAATCTTTTACCTCTGGCTCTGCCCTTCGTTATCATCAGAAAATTCACATTGGAGAAAGGCCTTATGAATGCAAGGAATGTGAAAAGTCTTTTACCTGTAGCTCTGCCCTCCGTTGTCATCAGAGAGTTCACACAGGAGAAAGGCCTTTTGAGTGCAGTGAATGTGGGAAATGTTTTAGGGATAGTTCCCAACTGAATCAACACCAGAGAGTTCACACTGGAGAAAAGCCTTATGAATGTAGTGATTGTGGAAGATCCTTTAGCCAGAATTCATACCTCTCTAAACACCGGAGAGTTCATACTGGAGAAAGGCCTTATGAGTGCAGTGAATGTGAGAAATCTTTTACTTCTGTTTCTGCCCTTGGCTATCATCAGAGAGTTCACACTGGAGAGCGGCCTTATAAGTGCAGTGAATGTGGGAAATCTTTTACCAATAGCTCGATACTCATTCGACATCGTAGAGTTCACACAGGAGAAAGGCCTCATGAGTGCAGTGACTGTGGGAAGTCCTTTACCCAAAGAATTCACCTCGTAATTCACCGGAGAGTTCACACAGGAGAAAGGCCTTATGAGTGCAGTGAATGTGGGAAATCTTTTACCTCTCGTTCCACCCTCCATTATCATCAGAGAGTTCACACTGGAGAAAAGCCTTATGACTGCAGTGAATGTGGGAAATCTTTTAGCCGAAAATCTAATCTCTCTCAGCACCAGAGAATTCACACTGGAGAAAGGACTTAGATGTGTAAGAAGTATGTAATTTCCTTGTTCAGTGCAATGGCACTGAAAGAAACTGAGGCTCTAATTGAACTGAATTCAAACACAACAGTAGGGAGATAGCTCACGACCTTCAGTTATGTGGGATGCATGTGTGGCTATGTCGCAGTTTCTTACCTGCCCAGGGCTCTTGGCAGATTTATTATTGCCGGTTTCTTCAGCCAGATCCATCTCATCTCTATAATCTGGCAGGTCCCCACAGTATGCATCAGTCACTAGCCCAGTCTGCTCAGGGGTGCTGACTTCTCTCATTTGTTGGAGGAAATTAGGAATAGCTTGAGCCCTTCAGATGTCCTCATTCCTTCTCTGACCAGCTTGAGCTTGGGCCTGACCCAGTGCTGGCCCAGAGAACATCATATGAGTTCACCTGGCAGCTTGCAGAGAAGGACTACCATTTTCAGGGACCTATTGGCCTCAAGATAGTTGTGATGAATTTTTCCAGCTCCCAAGTCACCAGCTCAAGAACTGCCAGCTCCACATTGCTTTGGTTTGTCCAATAACAAAGGCCTTATTGTTTAAGTCCTCTTTAATCTTGGACGTTCTGTTTACCATGTGAGGTGGGTTCTACAGGCATGAAGGGATGAGCAACTTTTATGGAGGTCTCAAACTTTCTATGCCTCAGAGGAGACATTACAGAGGCTTACCAGTTTCTGCCAAATTTGTGTTGCTGCCCGTGGCCTCCTAAAAGACTGCAGGGCTTTCTTGCCCTCATTTGAGGCCAGGATGCTATGAGTTTTAGGACGCTCAGTGATCACCCTGAGAAGAGGCCAAGTGTGACAACCTCAGGAGCTTCTGGGAGTAGCATGAATTCTTTCCCTTGTTTACAGGAGATGTCAGCCCTGTTGAGGGGAATTGTTTCCCCAGGTCCTGCAAAGAGCCATGTGTCCACAGTTCAGTGGGTGATAGTCACTAGGGCTCAGGGCTCAGGGAAAACCAGGATTACTACAAAAACACCAGCTTATAGGGATTCTAGGCGACTGCAGCCGAGTAGATGGAAAATACCTGTTTTCAGCGTGCATCCAGGAATGTCTGTGACAATGGCTGTGCAAGATCAGTATGTACATAAATCTGAGGTCCTCTAGGCATAATTATCTTGTGTAGCTTAAGTCATCGTCATTGACAATAATGAAAAGGTTTTGTAGATTCCTGTACCCTCTCATTGATACTCATCTCAAGGTTATTACTGCACAGGCAGGTTTAGAAAAAGAGAGGGGGAAAAACTGTGGTCCACAGATGTGTATCTTGTGACTTGAGTGGCAGGTCCTTCATTGCCCACTCTACAAGACTGACCTCCAGAAGGCATGAGAAGGTGGCATGAATGTTGGATTGCCAAATCTCTTTTCTAAAACGAGTTTGACATAGAGTTTTTATCTTGAACCATTTTTAAAAGCTATTTGGTAAGTTCTGATATGTGTGTGAAACTGAAACCATCATCTGTCACATATATTTATCTCATGACCTTTTATAATCTTTCCCTGCCCTGCACAGCCCTCCAAGGAACCATCGACTTACTTTCCATTAGAACAGGTACTTTGCATTTTCTAGAGTTCATATGGTGGACATCAAGATACTTACTGTTGTTCATGCCTTTATTTATGTTGCATAAATACTTGGAGATTCATCAATGATACTTGAGTAGCTCGTACTTTTTTTTCCTCTAAGAAATACTCTTCTCTTTATATATCCCACTGTTAGTTTATCCATTCATTTGCTTATGGACATGTGGTATTTCTAGTTTTTGAATATTGGGAAAAAGCTGTTATAAACATTTGTGTGTAATTCTTTGTATGGATATATGTTTCATTTATCTTTTGTCAGTAATGCAGTGCAAAGTCTGAGTCATCGGGTAGGTGAGTGTTTAGCTTAAACAAACTAGCAAATTGTGATCTGAACCAATTTTACCTTTTTGCATTTTTACCAGCAGTGTATGAGAGTTCCACATCTTAGTGAATACTTGGTCAGTCGTTCTTAATTCTGACCCTTTTTGTAAGTTTGTCATGCTATCTGACTTTTTTACTTGGATTTCTCTAAGGATTCATGATGAGCATTTTTCAGATGTGTATTTGCTATCTCT